ATTTGCTGTTGTTGTTATAGCACTGATGTAGATTATCTTATTTCTGTATCTTTTGTATAAAAACCAGCGAACGCACACCGACACACGAGGCCCACAACAACACACCACAACACACAACCCACACACAAAACACACCACAACAAAAACAAATGCGCAACACCGCCTAACACACGCCCAAACGCACACAACACAGCAACCACACGCACCACAACACGACACCATCCACCTACATCAACGCACACGAGAGAGAGGGAGAGAGAGGAGGAGAGGAGAGAAGAGGAGAGGAGAAGAGGATAGACGAGAGGAGAGAGGAGAGAGAGCAATGTATATCTCTGTTTTTTTTTCTTTCTTTTTATTTTAATGTAGGTGGTGGCCTTGAGGGTTAGAAATGTAGAATTCAGTCTAATACACTAGCAATGTATTTTGTTTCATCTTGATTTACTTTCAAACATTTTCCTTTTACTCGCCTACAAGAAGTAAGACACATGATCCTGAGCCCCATTGTCTTATTTTATTTTTGTTTCTCGCATTCACATTTCCTTACAATATGCTTAAAATCATCCTCTTATCTGTCTTAATTTCCTTCTTTTTCTTCCTTTTTTATTCTCCATTTTCTCACCTATGGCCGTTATCATTGCCGCTTCTCTTGTCCAAGCTTCAACTGGAATGGTGTTCTGGAAGACGTGCAAAGAGATCACGCCAACGCCTTCAGACCATATGTCGTGGATTCGCTCGATCTTCTTATTTTTCTGAGGAGAACATGAATGAGGGAATTAGAAGGAGAGAAAAAGGAATAGCAATAGATTAGAAAAGAAAAGGAAAGAAAAACAGAAAAAATGTTGGACAAAAATTAAATAATCAAATCGTTTCAGTAAGTAAAACAAGATAAATAAAAGTTTATGGAAATGAGAAAAAATATATAAATATTTTAACAAGTAAAGTACTAAATCACATTAAGTGAAATACAAAAATTAAAAAAGATAAATACATGAATAAGTAAATAGTAAAATAAGTAAGAATATATACCAAAAGGATTTGTACAATATTCATTTCTGGTGATAAAATAAATAAATAAAACATATATCCATAATGAAAGTGGATTTATTCAATCTTTTTTATTTTCTTAGAAAATAGAGATTAAAATTATTTGTAAAATTGATTAGATTTCCTAGAATCAGAAGAAAAAATATACATAGATCTATCCTGTTCTGAACACACGAAACAGAAAGAAGGACAAAAGAAAATAACAATAATAAATAAAGGTTACAATTTCAAACCAACAATCTTAATAGAGTCGAGATGGACAGATCCAATGAAAAGGTAAAACGTGCGACATAAGCCTAGTCAACATGGAGCGACAACCTGGTATTTACCTTTTTGCCATTTTCCAGGCTCTTGATGGCTTCATAAAGGTGGTAGTAAGGCCTGCCCCTCGATCCTTTGCCGATGTAGAAGATGGCAGAGATGAAGCATTGAAACTTCTCCGCATCTGTCATCATCAGTCCCCTGTACAAACCAGGAAAATTATATATATATTTTGTGTGTGTGTGTGTGTGTGTGTGTGTGTGTGTGTGTGTGTGTGTGTGTGTGTGGTGTGTGTGTGTGTGTGTGTGTGTGTGTGTGTGTGTGTGTGTGTGTGTGTGTGTGTGTGTGTGTGTGTGTGTGTGTGTGTGTGTGTGTGTGTGTGTGTGTGTGTGTGTGTGTGTGTGTGTGTGTGTGTATGTGTGTGTGTGTATGTGTGTATGTGTGTGTGTGTATGTGTGTGTGTGTGTGTGTGTGTGTGTGTGTGTGTGTGGTGTGTGTGTGTGTGTGTGTGTGTGTGTGTGTGTGTGTGTGTGTGTGTGTGTGTGTGTGTGTGTGTGTGTGTGTGTGCGTGCTTGTAACATGCCTGTGTTAATGCTTGTGAAAAGGCACATATGGAATACTAAAACTCTTTCATGACTCTAAACCTAACCAAACTCCTGAAGGATGACCCTCCAACCGACCTCAGAGGTAGATCCTGTGTTATCCTGGGGTCCAAAAGCAGGTAATTGAAGCAGGACTTGGTGGTCCCATCCCTCCAGTGTCGCATGGGGTCTGGCTGACAGAAGGGCGAGCTCATGACTCTTTCTAAGGAACCCCATGAGATCCAATCGACAGAAGACGGGTCCTCCAGAGCCATTTTCAGCTCACGTGGATAGGAAGGTTTTGCTAGAGATGCAAGATTTTTTATTTATTATTTATTTTTATTTATTTATTTAATTTTTTTCCTTTTTTATAAATTGAGAAATCTGGCCATCCATTTGATGTCCTAACTTGAGAAGTAGTGTTAAGAGATAAATTATTTTGATGAGTAATAATGGTGAATAATTCTAATAAGCTATCTTGAAAAGTTCATATTTTTGAAGACTAACTCTTAAAATGTAAATCTGGATAAGTACATATTTCTTATAAGTAATCTTGATACGTAAAGCCAAATATTATAGTCACCACTACAACTCCTATGAGGAAAACACAAGAGGTAGCATATAAACTGCCAATTCAAAATACAAATAACACATAATGTAGTAATAATAATATAAAAAGAAAGAATTCATACCAATTATTAATCAATCAACCCCCTTAAAACTACTTACATCAAAAAAATAGAAATTCAAAGCTCTGACAGCAAATGATTAACTCACCGCTATCTGCATTTTCCTCTTCCAGCATCTGCGGATTCTTCCTGATCCGCATGAGGTGTCTCTGGTAGACTCGGTGGGTCCCAGCTGTAATGGGTCCTGGGGTGTAGCCTACTGCCTTGAGACGTGCACGGAGGGTCTCAGCTGATAGAGCCTTGATGCTATCTGTCACCGTTCCAATGGAATTTAAGCTCTCTTCTGTAAAAGCAAGGTGATTGTGTGACTAGAGGTTAATATTCAGAGGATCTGTCATTGTGCAACTATATTCAGGAGGGTCAGACTGTTTCTAATCTAATATAAAGATCCCATTTATATTATTATTGTTATTATTACTATTATTATGGTAAGTCATATGAAGAGTCACACTGAAAAAATTGGGAATCATACCCCCAAAGATGTCAATGCAGGTCAAAACAGAACAAGAAAAGAAAGAAAAAATAGAAAATCATCAGTTATTTATTTAGTAAAAACATTTTAGCTGATCTTTTAAACTTATCAAGAGTCTGAGACACTACAGTCTCTGAAGGCAATCTATTCCAAAGCCTACAAATAGCAATCAAAAAGCATCTAGCCTGGGACTCCCATACAGAAAGGGATAAAATCTGTTACTCTAGGACAGACTTTACTAATAAGTTAACATTCAGTCCAATAACTTAATACAGGATTGCTTAGATATGAATGAACTTGCTAGGATTATCACATTAATTTTTACCACTTCTACAGAAATATAAGCCTGCAAGAGGTAGACATCCCCCCATAAGTCTTACCAAAATGGATGTTTGCTTTGTCTTGTGGAGGTTGAAGCACCTCGGTGATTTTCCTGCTTTGTATCAGACTCCTCGGTAGACTACCAAATTGACTGCCAGTGCTGATTAAATGGAAAGATTGATAGAGTATTAAGAAAAATAATTTAAAAAAATATATAAATATATACACATATATGTTAAAGATAAAACAGTTGTGAGGGGGGGAAGTAAAATTGCTTTCTTACAAGGCCAGTTAGTACGGTTGGTGTTTTTTCTTTCAGTTTTTGAAAACAAATAAATAAAATATCAATTCTAATATAATTTTTATAAATAATAATTCTAATATTATACTTCTTGATCACTGCCTGCACTATGCTCCAGAAAATAAATATGCATAATCTGAAAATATGAAAAGGAATCTAACTTCAAAAGCAAAAGAGAAGACTGCTTAATCTTTTTGTTAACAATAAAAGAAAATGGAAAATCACAAATTATAAATGAGTCTAAAAAAAAGCATGCTGGATTTTCAATCCCACACTCACTTCAATCCTAAATAAGATCAAAACCCACACCTGTTCCCAACAAACCTTGCGATGGAAGATGACGATGGGCAGCGTCTTTCGATAAGTGCAATACCAGCCTCAGGATCTTTGTAGAGAAACTCTTCCACAACGCTGAAGAACGACTGACAGGAACTACTGGTGGAGGGTGCTCCCTTGCCCACAAGCCCTTGGTGGGATCGTGGAGTGCTAGGGACGGATGTGAGCTGACCGACTCTTTTAGGGGAGGAGAAAGTGGTGGTAGGAGGGTTTGTGCCGGAAATTTTGCCTTTTGGAGTTAGAGTCTTGGTCAGTCCATCAAAGAGCTTGGATGTAGGGTCTCTTAATAGAGGCTTGTCCCTTGCACACCTTTCAAGGTATGGGACCTCTTTCCTTGGCGCTTTTACAAGGTTCACAGTCTGGCACTGGTCTGGCTTGGAAGTGTTGCGAGGGGCGGTGGTAATAATGGGGTATTCTTTCAATTTCTCATCAATGCATTTGATGTCCTTCTCGGGCTTTCTTCCAGCGACTGAATCTCCATGACCTCTGAGATTATTTTGGTTCTTCTCTGCCACAATAATCACGCTATCTGTAAGAGTGTCATCGCAGTCTGCTTCTAGGACTGTATCATTTTCTATACCTAATGAGTTGAGTGTGATGCAGCCTTCCTGTGAGAGACATATCCCATTTCCTGAGGTCAAATTGTGAGACTTCTCCAAAACACTAATTGATTTGTTAGGTGGGACATAAATAGCCTCAAACAAGTCATCTGTTAAGAATGATAGGTTATCTGTTAGGTCAATTGTAAGCTGGGCTATGTCAAGCTCATTAAGAGTCTGCTCAGAAGACAAATCCTGACTGTCTTCACTCGTGAAAGATGCAAAGGACGAGGCACGGCAGAAGGATCTGCTGGCTTCATTTAAGTTCTTCTCTAGGCACCTCTGCAAAGAGACTATATCACTGTCACTGTCGCTGTCATGCTGGTATTTTTGAATGGTCTGCTTCAGCTTCTTCAAGAAATCTGGACAGTGGATTCTGGATGGCCCACTGTCATTTAGTTTTGGCTCCTGGGGAGTTGACTTCCAACCATCTTCATCCGTGTCTATCTGGTGTTGCTCGTAGTTCTCGAGGTCTCTTAAAAATTGACTATATCTCGTGCTAAATGATTCCTCCATGAACAAATCATTCACAGAATATTTGTTATACGTGGAATCCTTTTTGCAGTTGGAACCTAATTTCCTGTCTTCAGACTTCTTTTTTTCATTATCAAAACATATCTGCAAACAGTGAGAAGTAACAATTTTTCACCCTGCTTTACGGTGCAATCCTTTCAGAAAAAGAAAAAGTAATAAATCATATACAAAAGGCCAAACAAAGCCAAATTAGTATATCATGACATCTTAATTAGATCAAATCAATACCCACTTGCTGTGAACCAGGAAAATCTCTGACAGACATGACACTTCTGATCCTTCCTGAGACAAGACAGGAGTTCAACAATTTCCTGTCTCCTGAAAAGAAAAAAAAACAAATGAGAGAGAGAGAGAGAGAGAGAGAGAGAAGAGAAGAGAGAGAGAGAGAGAGAGGAGAGAGAGAGAGAAGAGAGAGAGAGAGAGAGAGAGAGAGAGAGAGAGAGAGAGAGAGAAATTATTCAATAAAATATAATAATCTCAAAAGTAACAATTTTCCATAACCAGAAAAAAAAAAAGTAAAGTTGATGTAAAAAGCTTTCTGAATTAAAAAACTTCAAACATTAATCCTTCAGAAGTTTTACCATCATCGTTTTTTATTTTTTTTCTGGTTATGGGAGATTTTACTTCTTGAGATTATTTTTTTATTGATAATTTCTCTCTCTCTCTCTCTCTTCTCTCTCCTCTCATCTCTCTCTCTCTCTCTCTCTCTCTCTCTCTCTCTCTCTCTCTCTCTCTCTCTCTCTCTCTCATTTGTTTTTTTTTCTTTTCAGGGAGACAGGAAATTGTTGAACTCCCTGTCTTGTCTCAGGAAGGATCAGAAGTGTCATGTCTGTCAGAGGATTTTCCTGGTTCACAGCAAGTGGGTATTGATTTGATCTAATTAAGATGTCATGATACTAATTTTGGCTTTGTCTTGGCCTTTTGTATATGATTTATTACTTTTTCTTTTTTGAAAGGATTACACCATAAAGCAGGGTGAAAAATTGTCACTTCTCACTGTTTGCAGATATGTTTTGATAATGAAAAAAAGAAGTCTGAAGACAGGAAATTAGGTTCCAACTGCAAAAAGGATTCCACGTATACCAAATATCTGTAAATTGATTTGTTCATGGAGGAATCATTTAGCACGAGATATAGTCAATTTTTAAGAGACCTCGAGAACTACGAGCAACACCAGATAGACACGGATGAAGATGGTTGGAAGTCAACTCCCCAGGAGCCAAAACTAAATGACAGTGGGCCATCCAGAATCCACTGTCCAGATTTCTTGAAGAAGCTGAAGCAGACCATTCAAAAATACCAGCATGACAGCGACAGTGACAGTGATATAGTCTCTTTGCAGAGGTGCCTAGAGAAGAACTTAAATGAAGCCAGCAGATCCTTCTGCCGTGCCTCGTCCTTTGCATCTTTCACGAGTGAAGACAGTCAGGATTTGTCTTCTGAGCAGACTCTTAATGAGCTTGACATAGCCCAACTTACAATTGACCTAACAGATAACTATCATTCTTAACAGATGACTTGTTTGAGGGCTACTTATGTCCCACCTAACAAATCAATTAGTTTTTTGGAGAAGTCTCACAATTTGACCTCAGGAAATGGGATGTGTCTCTCACAGGAAGGCTGCATCACACTCAACTCATTAGGTATAGAAAATGATACAGTCCTAGAAGCAGACTGCGATGACACTCTTACAGATAGCGTGATTATGTGGCAGAGAAGAACCAAAATAATCTCAGAGGTCATGGAGATTCAGTCGCTGAAGAAAGCCGGAGAAGGACATCAAATGCATTGATTGATGAGAAAGAAGAATACCCCATTATTACCACCGCCCTCGCAACACTTCCAAGCCAGACCAGTGCCAGACTGTGAACCTTGTAAAAGCGCCAAGGAAAGAGGTCCCATACCTTGAAAGGTGTGCAAGGGACAAGCCTCTATTAAGAGACCCTACATCCAAGCTCTTTGATGGACTGACCAAGACACTAACTCCAAAAGGCAAAATTTCCGGCACAAAACCTCCTACCAACTTTCTCCTCCCTAAAAGAGTCGGTCAGCTCACATCCGTCCCTAGCACTCCACGATCCCACCAAGGGCTTGTGGGCAAGGGAGCACCCTCCACTAGTAGTTCCTGTCAGTCATTCTTCAGCGTTGTGGAAGAGTTTCTCTACAAAGATCCTGAAGGCTGGTATTGCACTTATCGAAAGACGCTGCCCATCGTCATCTTCCATCGCAAGGTTTGTTGGGAACAGGTGTGGGTTTTGATCTTATTTAGGATTGAAGTGAGTGTGGGATTGAAAATCCAGCAGGCTTTTTTTTTAGACTCCTTTATAATTTGTGCTTTTCCTTTTTCTTTTATTGTTAACAAAAAGATAAAGTAGTCCTCTCTTTTGCTTTTGAAGTTAGATTCCTTTTCATATTTTCAGAATATGCATATTTATTTTCTGGAGCATAGTGCAGGCAGTGATCAAGAAGTATAATATTAGAATTATTATTTATAAAAATTATATTAGAATTGATATTTTATTTATTTGTTTTCAAAAACTGAAAGAAAAACACCAACTGTACTAACTCTTGTAAGAAAGCAATTTTACTTCCCCCCCTCACAATTTTATCTTTAACATATATGTATAATTTATATATTTTTTAAAATTTTTTTTCTTAATTTCTATCAATCTTTCCATTAAATCAGTACTGGCAGTCAATTTGGTAGTCCGAGGAGTCTGATAAAGCAGGAAATCACCGAGGTGCTTCAACCTCCACAGACAAAGCAAACGTCCATTTTGGTAAGACTTATGGGGGATGTCTACTCTTGCAGGTTTATATTTCTGTAGTGTGGTAAAAAATTAATGTCATATTCCTGAGTATACGGGTACATTACAATCCTAGCAAGTTCATTCATTTCTAAGCAATCCTGTATTAAGTTATTGGACTGAATGTTAACTTATTAGTAAAGTCTGTCCTAGAGTAACAGATTTTTATCCCTTTCTGTATGGGAGTCCCAGGCTAGATGCTTTTTGATTGCTATTTGTAGGCTTTGGAATAGATTGCCTTCAGAGACTGTAGTGTCTCAGACTCTTGATAAGTTTAAAAGATCAGCTAAAATGTTTTTACTAAATAATAACTGATGATTTTCTATTTTTTCTTTCTTTTCTTGTTCTGTTTGACCTACATTGACATCTTTGGGGGTATATTCCCAATTTTTTTCAGTGTGACTCTTCATATGACTTACCATAATAATAGTAATAATAACAATAATAATATAAATGGGATCTTTATATTAGATTAGAAACAGTCTGACCCTCCTGAATATAGTTGCACAATGACAGATCCTCTGAATATTAACCTCTAGTCACACAATCACCTTGCTTTTACAGAAGAGAGCTTAAATTCCATTGGAACGGTAACAGCATCAAGGCTCTATCAGCTGAGACCCTCCGTGCACGTCTCAAGGCAGTAGGCTACACCCCAGGACCCATTACAGCTGGGACCCACCGAGTCTACCAGAGACACCTCATGCGGATCAGGAAGAATCCGCAGATGCTGAAAGAGGAAAATGCAGATAGTGGTGAGTTAATGATTTGCTGTCAGAGCTTTGAATTTCTACTTTTTTGAAGTAAGTAGTTTTAAGGGGGTTGATTGATTAACTAATTGGTATGAATTCTTTCTTTTTTATATCTATTATTACTACAATTATGTATTATTAATGTTATTTTGAATTGTCAGTTTATATGCCTGCTTGTGTTTTCCTCATAGGTTGTAGTAGGTGACTATAATATTTGGCTTACGTATCAAGATTACTTATAAGAAATATGTACTTATCCAAATTTACATTTAAGAGTTACTCTTCAAAAATATGAACTTTTCAAGCTTATTAGAATTATTCACCATTACTCATCAAAATAATTTATCTCTTACACTACTTCTCAAGTTAGGACATCAAATGTATGGCCAGATTTCTCATTATAAAAAAGGAAAAAATTAAATAAATAAATGAATAATAAATAAATAAATGAATAAAAATCTTGCATCTCTAGCAAAACCTTCCTATCCACGTGAGCTGAAAATGGCTCTGGAGGACCCGTCTTCTGTCGATTGGATCTCATGGGGTTCCTTAGAAAGAGTCATGAGCTCGCCCTTCTGTCAGCCAGACCCCATGCGACACTGGAGGGATGGGACCACCAAGTCCTGCTTCAATTACCTGCTTTTGGACCCCAGGATAACACAGGATCTACCTCTGAGGTCGGTTGGAGGGTCATCCTTCAGGGTTTGGTTAGGTTTAGAGTCGATGAAAGAGTTTTAGTCTTCCATAATGTGCCTTTTCAAGCAACACAGGCATGCTCACACACACACACACACACACCACACACACACACACACACACCACACACACATTACACACAACACATACACATACACATACACACATACACACACACACACACACACACACACACACACACACACACACACACACACACACACCACACACACACACACACACACACACACACACACACACACACACAGCACACACACACACACACACACACACAACACACACACACCACACAACACACACACACAACAAAATATATATATAATTTTCCTGGTTTGTACAGGGACTGATGATGACAGATGCGGAGAAGTTTCAATGCTTCATCTCTGCCATCTTCTACATCGGCAAAGGATCGAGGGCAGGCCTTACTACCACCTTTATGAGGCCATCAAGAGCCTGGAAAATGGCAAAAAGGTAAATACCAGGTTGTCGCTCCATGTTGACTAGGCTTATGTCGCACGTTTTACCTTTTCATTGGATCTGTCCATCTCGACTATATTAAGGTTGTTGGTTTGAAATTGTAAATTTATTTATTATTGTTATTTTCTTTTGTCCTTCTTTCTGTTTCTGTTTTCAGAATAGGATAGATCTATGTATTTTTTTCTTTTGATTCTAATCTAATCAATTTTTACAAATAATTTTATTTTATTTTCTAAAAAAAAAAAAAAGAATTTGAATAAATCCACTTTCATTATGGATATATGTTTTATTTATTTATTTTATTCACAAAAATGAATATTGTAAATTATATTTATTACTATTTACTATTCATGTATTTATAATTTTTTATTTTGTATTTCACTTAATGTGATTTAGTACTTTACTTGTTAAAAATATTTTTTCTCTTTCCATAAACTTTTATTTATCTTGTTTTACTTACTGAAACGATTTGATTATTTAATTTTTGTCCAACATTTTTTTTCTCTTTCCTTTTCTTTTCTAATTTATTGCTATTCCTTTTTCTCTCCTTCTAATTCCCTCATTCATGTTCTTTTCCTCAGAAAAATAAGAAGATCGAGCGAATCCACGACATATGGTCTGAAGGCGTTGGCGTGATCTCTTTGCACGTCTTCCAGAACACCATTCCAGTTGAAGCTTGGACAAGAGAAGCGGCAATGATAACGGCCATAGGTGAGAAAATGGAGAATAAAATAGGAAGAAAAAGAAGGAAATTAAGACAGATAAGAGGATGATTTTAAGGCATATTGTCAGGAAATGTGGAATGCGAGGAAACAAAAATAAAATAAGACAATGGGGCTCGGGATCATGTGTCTTACTTCTTGTAGGCGAGTAAAAGGAAAATGTTTGAAAGTAAATCAAGATGAAACAAAGATATACATTGCTAGTGTATTAGACTGAATTCTACATTTCTTATACCCTTCATAGGCCTGTGCCACCTTAACATTTAAAATAAAAAGAAATGAAAATAAAGAAAAAAAAAAAGATGTATAAGCTCTCTCTCTCTCTCTCTCTCTCTCTCTCTCTCTCTCTCTCTCTCTCTCTCTCTCTCTCTCTCTCTCTCTCTCTCTCTCTCTCTCTCTGTATGTGTGGTGTGTGTGTGTGTGTGTGTGTGTGTGTGTGTGTGTGTGTGTGTGTGTGTGTGTGTGTGTGTGGTGTGTGTGTGTGTGTGTGTGTGTGTGTGTGTGTGTGCGTGTGTGTGTGCGTGTGTGTTTTTATACAAAATATACAAAATAAATAATTTACAACATTCAGTGCTATACAACAACAGCAAAATCCTACATTCCTCCCATTCTCTCCGTAGGCCTCGGCAACCTAAGTAACAGCATCCAGGGCACCTTCTATGGACTGCCAAGCACCTGGCGATGGGCTGAGCGAAGGCGCCTGGGAACGCATCTCTTGTGGCGGACGCTCCAGATCTTCCTGCAGGAGGGCGAGAGGCAGCTTAGGCCCTCCGATGTCACCCTGCCTGTGTGGATGAAGTGAGGGGAAGTGATGGGGGACAAGATGAGGTTTCTCAGAATGGGTTGAGATGAAGTGTGATTTTTTCTTCTTTTTTTTTTTACGTGAAATATTTTGTAGATTTGGCCGGATCTGCATAGAGTTAGATGGGAAGATTTTTTTAGTATTGTTATTTATCTAATTATTTATCTTCATAGTTCTGTCGGAGGTTCAATTGATCTGATTAATTGGACTAGTGGAAAATTTTGGTATTATATATATTTTTAAAATTATTATTTTATTATTTATTATTATTATTATTATTATTATTATTATTATTATTATTAATTATTCTTTTTGGGAGGGTATTCTGGTTCTGTAATTGCTTTTTATATGGAAACTGCTTTTAAAGTAGGTGTCCATAAGAAATTGCAATTATTTTTAATGCCTAGATAGATTAAATTTGCATAATCAATCTGGAATCTCAAAGATGTGATAATGGTAGTACAAATATTGCATTTAAGGTGGAATACCTTCAATGTTTTATCCAGTTTATTTTACAGAAAATGTGAGTTTTAATATTTTAAAATTTGGGAATATAAAATTTTGATGTAACTAAATATGCATTTATTCCCTTCATACTTACCAAAGCCCACAGTGTGTAAATGAAAGCATTGTTGTATTATGAAGCATATTGAAGATTATTGTAATTTTTGTTGTTGTATTTATTTATTTTTTTACCTATAAGTTTGATGTGAAATTATTTTTGTCTCATCATCTAAAAACATCTTGGTATATGAAAAGTGACTATCATAAAAAAATATATTTTTTATTATGTTTGGAATTAATTTTTCTGTGACCAGATTACCGTGTAATACAGTTTCTATTTCATAATGGTTTCATAACCAAAGATCTGTGTATTCTGTGATGCTAGAGTTATCATAAGGGGAAACAACTGTCTTTTGTACTTGTTAATTGTAACATTACTATATATATTGTGACAAGTATTTTAGATTATTCCAAACTACCAATTGTATTTTAAAATTGTAGGTACCTGAATAAAAATGACTTTATTTGTACTTTTAATGGATAAAAAGTAATATATACTGTGATCTATTCAAAGAATACTGTATTTATTCTTTTATTAATATATTTACATACACCACACTGACTTTTTCTATCCTTTGCAATGATTTAGATCAAATTTTGCATATTTTGTAATTTTTTGGAAAGTTTCTTTTCCCCAAATGTCGGCATTATTATATATTCCTTCTTGTATATTGTAGGAAAGGACACTGCTATTGTAGCTTGGGTAATAGCCTATTTGCTGACTATTTATATTATTTTTGGCATAAGCCTCCCTTACTCTGTGGTTAAAGATATAGAATTAAGGTCTTAAAATACTGTAGAGTGCTTCCCCACCTTATTTTTGCCAGATTTTTATATTTGACTTTACTATTAATTATTTTTTATGGCTTAGTGAGCCTACCAAGAAACTTTTGGGGAGAGATATTTTTTGTGTTTCTTTATTACAAGTTCCTAAAGAAAGAATTGTAAGAAATTATACGCTAGGGGACTTAGAGTCATGTCAGGCACTTTGATGTTTGGACACATATGTTGCTCATTCTAAATAATGCATCTCATTCCATAACTGTAATAGCAACATGTATACACTTTTGTTCATTCAAAGCCCTGTGTGTGTGTGTGTGTGTGTGTGTTGTGTGTGTGTGTGTGTGTGTGTGTGTGTGTGTGTGTGTGTGTGTGTGTGTGTGTGTGTGTGTGTGTGTGTGTGTGTGTGTGTGTGTGTTGTGTGTGTTGTGTGTGTGTGTGGTGTGTGTGGTGTGTGTGTGGTTGTGTGTGTGTGTGTGTGTGTGTGTGTTTGTAAGTGTGTGTGTGTGTGGTGTGTGTGTGTGTATGTGTGTGCGTGTGCGTGTGCGTGCGCGTGTGCGTGCATGTATGTATGTACATGTATGTATGCTCAGTAGCAATCACCACACAGTATTTCAAATATAGTAGCAAGGCTGTAACACGAGTGCAAAACCTTTATAGTTACATTTCAAGCCGTTCTTTGTAAGAGAGAGCTTGAAACTGGAGTGACATTAGTTTATTTCTTTACTTACAACCCTGACTAATATTACAGCACCCCTGTAATTTGTGTTATTTATATAGTAAATTTGGAACAATATAAAATATATCCTAGTATGTTTGTATGTATATATGAATGGATAGAGGCTAAGGCCGATTAACATCAGCTGATACAACATTTCCATTTCATTAATGGTGAACCCCTTGATACTTCCATTGGCGTCCCGTTTTTTATGTCTTATGTTCAATGATGTTAGAAAAAAACTGACCAAAACTCACAACAACCATTATCATCATTATCCTGGAGCAACAACAACAACAACAACCATTATCATCATTATCATCACTATCATTATCATCATCATCATCATTATCATGATGATGATGATGATGACTGTGCATATGATTATGATGATAACGATAATGTTAACGCTCTTGTTATCATAATGATATAATAATCATCATCGTCATAATCATAATATATTTAGTAATCATCACCATCAGAGTAATAATAAGAATAACAAGAATGATAATAATTATAATGCATAATGCACTCCCTTCCCTATAAATCAAATTGCTGTAAATTCGGAGATTACAGCTATGGTACCAGTACTCTACAAAGCCCTAGTCTCTTTATACCCCCAACTACGCCCTCATATTGCTTCAATATTAACCTAACACTGGACGAAGGCATCAGGATAGGATAACTGACAGTGCAGTCCCCTTCTTCCTTTCACTGCAACTCTCCAGCCTTGGGATACGCATGCACACCAATTCGTTTGTAAATTTAGGGTTTTAATGTGCGCTAAGTTCATTACCACCGGCGTAATACCGCTTGAGGGCGGTAGGCACATGCTCGTAAGTATACAGAGAAAGTCGCTTTTAACGAAGTGTTATTTTTTCCAACATACAGAGTACCCAGTGTTCCCTATAATTAACCAGATAATATATACCATGTCAAGGGGAGAGGGAGCGAAGACTGCTAGAGAGGGGAGTGGAGACTCGGAGGAGAATCGTGTGCTGCGACGGAGGACCAGAAGGCGGCGCTGGAGGGTCTGGGGATGGCGACCTGTGAGGAGCGGAGGCAGCGCCGACGAGATGACAATACGAGGGCAGCGCGGCGAGAGGGAGAGAGAAGTGACGCCGGGAGGCCGAGTGGAGGCAGATCTCGGAGAGAGGAGGCAACTCGGGTCTCTACCTCCTACGCTTACGCTTCTTTTCACACGCCATGCCCATCTCTGACTTCCCGCCTCAAGGCGGTCGGTGTCTCCTCCCAGTCCCGGCAACACGGAGGAGGACGAGTGGCGGGAGGAGTCGTCCGAGCTACGTACGCCCCGAGCATAGCGGTTGGAGAGTGCGCCGCTGGGCCGGCGGACTCGTAGAGAGGGTGTTGACTCCGATCGCCCGGGACGCCGACACTCGTACTGCCGAGAGAGCGCAGTCGCACAGATGCATCAGACGAGAGATGCAACTCACGCGAAGGAGTGGAGGACTGACTTGAGATTCCGACTGAACAGACGCACTCGTGATGCGAGAGATTAACAGAGAATGATGGGAGGTATAGAGTCTGTACATCCGTTATAGTTACAATAAGGATATTTTTTCAGCGAAGATTTAGCACACCGCCAAGACCTCTGGCGAGGAGTTAGAGATCTGCTAGAGGGACGTAGAGAAGAAACGGGGATGAGATGGGCAATCAAGGGTTAGATTACGAAGTGTTACATATTTTTTTTCAATACAGAGCTACAGTATTCGTGAAATTGGCAAGAAGTAATTGGAGGTAAGTGAGACATGCGCTAAGAAATGGGAATATACGACACATCTTAAAGTTAAGATTAAAGTATTATGTGATTTTTACCCACGAGGACACGAGGACACACTGCGTATCCTAGGTCGATGCTGAGAAGGCGTAGGAGAGACGAAGATACAGATAGAATATAACAGCTGTTTACATATTTTCACTATAACTCACGGAGCATACGAAGGAGATCGATGAGTAGTAACAGTGATACGAGAATCCTGAACGGAACGTGAGAATGCAGAACGCATAGACGCAGATGGGTAAAATATGTGCAAATACAAGTCATACACAGTCGTAGGAGAGGAAGTTAAGTTGAGTTTGTGATTTTACCACACCGTGCTCCTCATCTGGCTGCCGGTGGGGAATTACCAGTGATGTGGCTACAGGAGTGTGATTCTTACAGGATCACATTTTCACATCACACATTCGACAGGAGGTACACA